GCCCAAAGCCCAAAGCCCAAAGCCGTGCTTTCTTAAGGAAAAGAGAAAAAGATGGAGTTGTAGATGGGACACCAGAAATGATCAGAGCTCTGAATGTATCCTTGGAGTTTGTGCCCAATATGCCAGTGGCCTTGGAACTGGGGGAACGTGGACACGGATAGCTTTTAAGGGAATCAGTTTCCAGATCCTCAAATTCCATAGGTACTCTTTCCTGAAAACAGTCTGCCTGCCTGGATTCTTTTAAATTCTCCTTTCAACTCTGCTCCCATTGTTTCCCATCTCTGGCTTTACTAGATCCCCCCTGAATCTTTTTATGGTTGAGTTGCTTGGGGATATAAAAACCAAAAGGATAACTGGAGAATGCCCATTTCCAGAGAGGGTGAGCCAAGAGAGCAGGTAAAATAAACTGAAGGGGTGGCGCCTTACTGCAGACTCACAGTATTTGTTTTTTCACAAACAAAAAATACTTGTTTAATGCTAGTTATGTGCCAGACACTGTTCGAAAGGCTTTAGGGATTAATAAACTCATTTAATACTCATATCAGCTCTATAAAGTAGATACTTATGTCCTTCTTTTACAGACAGGGCTCTCAGAGGTTTAATAAGTTGCCCGAGGCCATAGAGCTATTTCGTGGCAAAATCAGGGTTTGAAGTCTTGTGCCTTTCCATTGGAGTGTGTGCTCTGAGACATTACGCTACAGTGCTTTACACAGAAATGCTTTAGCTCTTTACCTATGTATTATAAAATTAGAACTGGGACCTGAGCTGGTTGTCATGGGGATGCAAATGAACTCATTTATAGAAATTTTAAAAAATGAAGGTGGATTTTATTACCGGCAGAAAATTATGCTGGTTTGGCTGATTGGTTTGACATGAGGACTTGCTTTGACAGTTGATTATATGGTAGACAAGTTCCATAAACTGAACAAGCTAAATCTGTAGCTTTAAGGTTTGGATGAAGATCTATCTAAAGCATGTCTCTAATGAAGACTATGCCAGAAAATTTCACCTTGGAACCTATTATTACTTGTGAAAAATAATTTTAGTTATTAACTTAAAAATGTGTGAGAGGGTCATAGTTTTTTCAAAATTCTTATGGGGACTCATGAGCAAAAAATGGGAAGACTTCTGGTGTATGGCACATGTAAACATCACTGGCCACGTGCATCATAGTGGGGACGAGGATTCTGGTTGGACGGTCGGGTGAGGTGAAGTGTCTTGTCTTGTCCATAGGTGAGCAGGGGCAGAGCAGGAGCGAGAACCAGGGTGTTCTGATGGCTGTCGTTCCAGTGCTCTTTCTATTACTCCGCACTGCCTTCTTCCTTCACTCTCCCTTTACCTGCTGGCTTATTAGGGAGGCCTTCCTAGGGGGTGCTGTTGGTTAAGAAGGAGCTGGCCTTGTGGGAACGTGTGGGGTGCGTGAGGGATGGAGAAAGGGTTAGGTAGAGGGAACAGCAAGTACAAAGACCCTGAGGCAGGAGAGAGCTTGGTGTCCTGGGACAGCAAGGGGGCCCTGTGGTGACAGCACAGGGATGTTGGGGGACAGTGGCAGAATTCCATGAAGAAGGCAGGAGCTAGGTCATGCAGGACCTTATCAGCCATAGTAAGGATCCTGTATTTATCTGGAAGACAGTGGGAAACCATTGAAGGGTTTTAAGCAGAGAGTTGATATATTCTGATTGATGGTTGTGTTTTTGTTTTGTTTTGGAGGGGGGCAGGAGTGGACACAGGTGGGGACTAACTGCAACCTATTTTATGGAGGGCTACGAAGATGAACAGTGTTAATGGGAAGGCAGAATGGTATGGGATGTCATTCTGTCTTCTAGTTCTGATGAGGTGTGTTGGTAGCTATTGTTATGTAACAAATTACCCCAAAATATAGTAGCTTAAAACAACCACCATTTTATTTTGTCATGATTCTGTGAGTCTGGAATTTGGGCAGTTCAGCTGAGTAGTTCTGCTCCATGTGGTGTCAGCTGGGGTCAACGTCACTTGGCTGGACAGATGGTTCCCAAATTACGATAGTTTGACTCACGAATTTTTGACTTTACAATGGTGAGAAAGTGATGTGCATTCAGTAGAAACTGTACTTTGAATTTTGATCTTTTCCCTTCGGCTAGAATATGCAGTACGATCCTCTCTTGTGATACTGGGCAGTGGCAGTGAGACGAGATTGCCAAACTGTAGGCTAATGTAAGTGTTCTGAGCACATTTAAGGCTAGGCGAAGCTATGACGTTTGGTAGGTCAGGTGTATTAAATGCATTTTCAGCTTATGATATTTTCAACTTATGATGGATTTATCAGGATGTAACCCTATCATAAATCAAGAAGCATCTGTATTCTGTTGGTGGATGAGCTGGGCTGGAAAGTCCAGGACGGCTTGACTCATAGATCTGGCATATTGGTGCTCTTCTATGTGGCTTCTCTCCATGTGAGTAGCTTGGGCTTCCTCACAGCATGGTGGCCTCAGGGTAGTCAACCTTTCTTATATGGTGTCAGGCTTCACAGAGGGAGCATTCCAAGAGGAACAAAAGTGGGCCTGAAGATCTTTTAAGGCCTTACCTTGAGAGGTACCCAGCACTACTTCTGCCACGTATTATTGGTCAAAACCAGCCATGGGGCTGGCCCAGATTCAAAGAGAGGGGGAGCAAACCCCACCTCTGAATGGGAGGAATGGCAAACAACATCCTCCGTCTTTAATCTACCGCACAGGGCTTCTGGGGACTGAGTAACCGTAACCACCCTGATGATGCTGACCCACTTTTAAATTTAAATCACAGTATACTGTGTCGGGACAATTTATAAGTCTTTCTTTATTCCCCACTGGAGAGGGAGGGCCTGGGGGAAGGAGGGTTTTGTTTTTTTGTTTTTTCCCTTGTGTTTCCAGAGACTACCATATATTAGGCATTCAGGATATGCTTGTCCAATGAATGAGCACATCACTGGTTATCAAGCTGTGATATACATAAGAATCTGCTGGGGAGTTGTTGAAAAAGCATGTAGATTCCTGGGCAAGACCCCAGCCCAGACCCTCTGACTCCAATCCAGATTGGAATCCAAATCTCTTGGCAGGAGCTTTTAGTCTTGGCTGTCCATTAAAAAAAAAAAAGTAGTAGAAAGTTAATTATATTGTAACTCTAAATAAAGATTGAGTTCTGTTTTTATGGAAAAAAACCACCACCAAAACCTGTGCCCAGGCCCTAGCTCCAGAGGCTCTGATTCCATTGACCTGGGCTGAGCTCAGGCATCAATGCTTTTGTACAGTTTCCTCAGACAATTCTGACATATAGCCAAGCTTAACAACCACTGCCTTTGGACTGGAACCAGCCATCTTCACCTGACGTCCTCAGATGATTCTGATGCAGGTGCTCAATGACAGGGTGACCAGCTGTTCTCAGTTTGCCCAAATCCCACATCCCAAGAAATCCATAGTCATGTGCAAACCAGCATAGTTGGTTACTATCGATGGACCACTATTCAAGAAACATTGTGGATGAGGCAATGAAAGCCTTTTTGAAAAATACCTATGAATATCTAATGAAAGCAAAGATTCTTCTTTTTTAAGGGACTGATATAGTATCATAATACTATCAGAAAAAAGTCAACTCCTTTAATTAGGGAGGAGATGGCTTGGGGTCAGGGTTTTCCTTCAGCCCTGTGCTCCAGTGTGCTAGGTCTGTTAAACTAGTTCAATAGTGTGTCCATCTTTGGGAATTCTTCCAGACTGTATTCGTCAGTGTACATAAGGCAGCTTTGAGAGCCTGACCACCGTCAATGAGAATCATGTGTTGAGGATGCTGTTAATATACAGGATGAGGTTCTGTGTCTCTACACCAGTGTGCATTATTATTACTATTTTTCATATTATAATAGGATACAAAAATATATGTAATATTTTAAATGGCTCTGTGGGAAGGCATTGTGGTGTAGTGGAAAGCCCAGGATTTGGCCTCAGAAAAATGGGTTAGTGCCACAGCTTTGCTGTGATTTGGTATGTAATCATGGGTGCCTCTTTTCACCTTAGTTCATCTGTAAAGTGAGAGTAATAATGACATCTTCTTCACAGGGCAGCTGAGAGGATGCATTAAAATAGTATAAGTGAAGCTCTGGCTGGGTAGCTCAGTCGGTTGGAGCATCGCCCCACGACGCCAATGTTGCGGGTTTGATCCCCAGTCAGGGCACATACAAGAAGCACCAGTGATGCATAAGTAAGTGGAGGAACAAATTGATGTTTCTCTTGCTCTCCCTCCCTTCCCTTCTCTCTCTCAAAAATCAACTAAAAAAAAAAAAAAGTCTAAATGAAAGTAGTTCCATAGACTGGGAAGAGGAGGTATTGTGATTTTCTTAGAATGGGAGAGACACAAAGACATTCTGCTGCGAGGCCCTGCACATGGCCAAGGCCCCGGTCCCTCCACCCTGACCCACAGCCACGGTTGTGGGATTCCGGGGAAGCTTTTACCATGCAGTGGGCATGCAGAGACCTTAGGAAGCAGAGTGGCCCTACCTGAGCTGCCCGCACAATGGAGCCAAGGGTGCTTTGCTTGAGGAAGAAGGAAAACTTTTGGAAGAGAGGCTATTTTTTGTTTTTGAATCTTTTGCCTATTTATTCCAAGTGTATCCTCAGAAGCGTAGCAAAAAGAAACCGCCACAGCCACAACCCCATAATACTGAAAAGCTGGTTCTTCATTTCTGTAGCTAAAAAAGCACTCTTTTAGGCTATAACCACGAGACTGCTGCAGGCCCCTGCAGCAGGGCCTAATGACGGTTTGCAGTGTGATGAAGGAGGCTGTTAATCTTCGTGGCCCACAAGCCCAATACGTGGCCTCTCCAGTTACTCACGTTGCCTAGCAACGCCACCAAAAGCCTCCTCACCAGGCCCAGCTGGGCAGCAATTGGGAATACCCAGTACAGCCCGCTGCCAGCCTCCTGGGCTCCCCGGCCACATCAAGGCTGCACTCGGCCCTGGCAGGGGCGGCCTGGTACCAATGAGTGGGTGGGGCCAGCTGTTGGAAGAAAACAACTCAGATACTTAGAACCCACTTGTTTGAATGCAGCTAGAAAAGCAGCACAAGCCAATGATCAAACCTCTCTTCTGCCAAAGAGGAGTTGTCTAGAGTGGTGGCCTTGCCAGTGCTCTCCTGGGTGAGGTGAAGAAGGGAAGGTGAGCTGGAATTAGCCCTTTGGGTTCTCAGAGAGACAAGTCCTTTCCTTTCCTGGATGCCTGTCTCCATGTTGACTCCCTGTGGCAGTGGTGGGAGTGGTGGGGATTCCCAGCCCCATCCTCAGGGCTGGTGACCTGCCAGTTCTGCAGGAGTTGAAAAGATTCAGAAAAATAAATCAGTTGATAGTGCCAGTGATAAACATGAAAGGAAAGTGAAGAGGACTGAGAAAGGGATTTTTTTTTTCTTTTTTCCACAAAGAGAAGTTTTGGATAAATTGGCATGGAACATCAAGTTCGGTGGTGTGTAGGATTTCTGACATCCAGAGATCCATCTTGTGTGCACCATAGGTACACGGAAAATGCACTGGCTACTGGTTTTAGTGAGTTCATCAATGAAAAATGAAAGGAGGTACCACTAACTAACCAAGTTTTCTTTTTCGTCTTCTTCTTTGGGATCTCGGGTGCAAAGTGTTGAACGTGGTTAATACTCCTCACACAACAAATTTTATAAATAACTTTATTTTTGCATTTATAGAATCATTTAGGGTCTGAAATGGAATCACTTAAAACTTTGTGGCTGTAATTTACAGTGTAATTTTAGGAGACACTGTGTGGGATTTAGTGAATGAGGACACTTGAAAGGTCTTTGGAAAAATCCCTTGCTGATGTCAAGGGCCTCCTGTGAAGATCTCTTTATGGAAATGTATATTTCTACAGATTAAAAAAATGGCAGGCAACTGTTCTGGGTAAATGAGCACAGCCCTGCCCTTCCCAATCCTTGGCCAACACGCCCACTGTGATTCACAATGCTAGCAATGCTGCTACCAGATAAGGTCAGGGGTATGGAACTTCTCGCCACTTTTCCTCTTCTGAGGACTAGCTGGCCATGGAAGGAAGGTCTTTGGTTTTTGGGGTGCAGGGGGAACATCTCCATTTTTAACCTGAAGGCGATGGGTCTTTTGTACCCCTCCAGAGACATGCTTTCTAATGTTGACGTAAGAAATGTCCAAACCTGTAGAGAATTTTTATGAGTTTATTTGAGTCAAACTAATGGCAATTTCTGGGAAGCAAAAGCTCAATGAATTGAGAAAATGCTCAGGAGAATGGCAGTTTTGCAGCTTACTGCATGCATTGGAATCAAAGGGGGAGGCAAGGGGGTTACATGGAATTCACTGGTGGTAGATGAAGCGGGTAAGAGAAAGCAAAGCGGGGAAATCTCTGGGGCTGAATAAAAAGTAACACAGAGAGACACTACTCCTTTTACACTGGTGGGTGGAGGACAGTTAACATTTCCAGCGTGTAGAGCTGGTATGTGGAAACCAGGTAACAATGAGGGCTCTGTGGTCCTGCTCTGTGCAGGTGGGTGTGCCCTGAGGGGTCTGGAAAAGGCGGTGACTCTGACATTTCAAAGGTATGTTATCTTATTCAAAAAGACAATACACAGGCTCACTGAAGGTAAAGATGGGCTTTTGTCAAGGAAGCTACATGCCTAGGATGTGACTGCCTCATGACCTGCTTTTAGTTGGGAATTTTTATGTTCAGACCATCCTGTGAGATCACTTTCAGTCTCTGAGTTTGTAAGGCCCACCATGCAGGTGTCCCCTGAGCTTGTCAGGTTTAGTATGTGGCTCTTTTTTTGTCTACACTAACAGTTTACCCAAGTTGTTTCCTACTGGTAGAATGAGAATGTTTTGATCTGTGTGTGTGTGATTTCATATATATATTATTTAAAAAAATATGTTTTTATTGATTTTAGAGAGAGAGGAAGGGAGAGAAAGAGAAAAACATCAATCAGCTGCCTCCTGCACGCCCCCTACTGGGGATCGAGCCTGCAACCCGGGCAAGTGCCCTGACTCGGAATCGAACCTGGGACCTCTTGGTGCACAGGACTATGCTCAACCAACTAAGCCACGCTGGCTGGGCAGATTTCATATTTTTTAATCTTATTTTTACTTATTTTTAATTTAAAAATTTTTCAACTACAGTTGACATTCATTACTGTTTTATATTAGTTTCAGGCATACAGCATAGTGGTTAGACACTTATGTAATCTACAGAGTGGTCCCCCTCCATGTATGTGTGTGATTTCAACAAAGCGTCGGCAGCCACCTGCTGCAGATAGAGGTAGCGGGTGAAGCATAACATCAAGCCAACATTAAAGAAGCGCGAGAAACCTGCATGACCTTTGCTTAGTGAGTAAGAAAGCACAGTCAGTGCCATAAATAATTCCACTCAATGAGTAACACTGCAATGAGAGTGGCCAAGTAAATAATTTGATAGCTGTGGATGCTTTATAACAATGTGATTCTATAATGTGTTGTAATCACGGCTGACTTGTTTTGAGACTCCTGCTCTATTCAGTTGGGCCTCCAAAAATTCCAGTACTCTGAAGTCTGCTTCCAGATACTCCATCCCAACCTTGACCTACAGAGGCCACTTCCATGCAGGCACAAAGTGAATGACATGACCTTAGTTTAGACTTGCTTTGTGAGACCCTAGTGTGCCGGTGGGTCGATTTCAGCACAGTATCAGGAAGAACTACCTAAGAATTAGAACTGTCAGAAAATGCAACAACTCAGTTAAAGCAGATTCAGGTTCTTGGTAAACTTTCACTACTTTCAATAGCACAGCACAGAACGTCTTCAAAATACAGGTTTGTGTACTCACTCAAATTCATTTGTAGGATAGATTTCTGGGAGCAGAATGGTTTTGTGGAAAGGCATATGCTTTTCCTAATTCACAGATACTGCCCCCTTGCCTTCCCAAAAGGCTGCATCAACTCCTACCCCATAAACCGCACCCATTTATTTCCACACAGCCTCCTATGGATCAGTCTTTTTCATTGTTGCCAAACTGATTAGTCATGTTTCCAGGGTGGTAAGTTGTGCTCAGAAATTCGGGTGTGGGAGCAGGAGGTAAACAGCAGTGGGAAGGATGGCATGTCAGGGACTAGAAGCGGCACCCGTGAGCATCCAGCACCAGATGTCGGAGATCAGATGGAGCAGGGTGCTCCTGTTCTCGGGGAGCAGGGCACACAGGCAGGTATGGAAGTCAGAGTGGGGCAGTGATTGACTGAGAAGAGAGGTAAAGACAAAATGCCGCGATCGCTACCAATGCGCTCATCTGTCGCTAGAGCCTAAATGAGCTAGAACTACACATTAGATCCCTTTACTGGAGATGCTGGGAAGAAGGCAGACACGCAGTGAGTCTCTGCGAAACCGAACGGGTCAGGTATCTTTGCAGCCCCGGAAATATTTTCCAGTAAAATACTTAAAATGGTGGGCCTGAAGTTGTGAAATTTCTGGAAAACTTGAGTCTGGAGAAAAGAGAAAATTGGGGTAGAGGGAGGGGGGATGTAATCCTTTTTTTCTAGCTCCCATTATATCTATAGAGTTGTATTGTTAACAATGTGGAATTTTATTTCCTCATAACATGATCATGTATGGTACTTACATTTACAATAGGGCTTATTAATACAATGTGAATCATCTCTAATCGAATTTATTTTTTAAATGCTTTAACATTTGTGGTTGATAGATGTGACAGTCCCCAACATAGTGCCTGCTACCCAGTAGATGCTCAATAAATGACTTTTGATTCGGAATCAGAAGGCTGAGAAGAGAAGCAAGATGAAACTCAGAGGGGAAAGGAGATTGCTCAGTTAAACTAGACGGAACCGAGTTCAGCTGCGCACTGTGCACGGTTTGGGCTCCGAGATACATTAGCTTCAGGGCAAAGCTAACGGCTGACTTGAAAGTCGGCAGCGGAGGGGAAGGAAGGGGTATGCAAAGCAGTGTTGTCATTTCAAGGCTCCGGTCCATCCCCTTGGGTGGTGGCAGTAGACGAAACCAGAAGTGACCCCTGAGGGCCCTCTCCCTCATTGGGGGAGACCCTGGTACTTTGTCACAATCACACATTGATGAGTGTAGGGATATTGTGCGTATTTGGGCACCAGGTCTCCAGTTGCCTATTAACATACAGGCGAGGCTTTCGAAACCAGTGGGCATGCCGGAGAACCCAGGACAGAGCCACAGCCTGGAGGCTCCAGGGCCAGCTGCTCTTCCCTGACGGTCATGTCCCTTTCAGGTGCACGCAGGACCCAGGACAATGGCAGCTGCTGAGGATTTGCAGATGGAGGACATGGACGTGTGTAGAGACAGGGAAGAGGAGCTGGAGGAAGAGAAGAAGAGAATGAGAGAGGGTGGGGAAGGTCAAGACACCTTCAAGAATAAAAAAGTCCACAAGATTGTCTCAAAGTGGATGCTTCCTGAAAAAGCCCGAAGAACGTACTTGGAGAGGGCTAACTGCCTCCCGCCCCCGGTGTTCATCATCTCCGTCAGCCTTGCAGAGGTGGGTGTGATGGGTGGTAGGCACTAGTGCAGGAACCTCTGGGGGGCTGCAGGCAAGCCGGGGGTTTAGATCCGAACCAGATCAGAGGCTGGAAAAGGTGTGAGAGCTTGGTGGTGGCAGGTACAGCACACACGGAACACAACCTCGCCCTCCCCAGAGCCCCCTTCCCCGGTTTTTCCTGTTCCCAGTCACTTTCAGGAAAGGGTTGGGCTTTATTTTTCAATAAGTTCCCTACCCAGCCATAACTACATTTTCAGAGGTTTCATTTCATTTTAGGCGGTGGGGCCTTTAGAAACCAAATAATCATGGGATTGCAAATTGGTTTGGTCTCATGAACCAACTTCAATTGGCTAGTAAGAGTTACAAGTTATAGTTCCCTCCAAATTTCAGTAGGAAAAAAATGGGATCCTCTAATGATGTTTGCTGTTTTGTGTATTGTGTTTTCAGACTGATCTAGTCAGCCCTCTTGTTTTCCAGAAAAGAATGCAAGGCCCAGAGCTATGGAATGCTTGCCCCAGGTCACATACTTAGTGACTGGGCCAGGACTGGGCTTCTGAACCTCGTCAAACCTAGTTTTTTCTGCCTCACCATGAAGTCTCATAAAGGAATTACACACACACACATATTCTCCCCCTCCTCCCCCCACACACATATATTGAGAGAAAGGGAGAGGGAGAGATTATTTTAAGAAATTGGCTCACGCAATTGTGGAAGTCTGGCAAGTTCATAATCTACAGGGTAGGCCAGCAGAACAGAGACCTAGTGGGTAAGAGATTCAGTTGGAGTCCAAAGACCGTCTGCTGGCAGAATTCCCTTTTCCTCAGAGTCAGTCCTTGTTATATTAAGGCCCTCAACAGATTGTGTGAGGCCCACCCACATTATGGAGGGTAGTCTGCTTTACTCAGTCTACTGATTTAAACATTAATCTCATAAAAAATACCTTCACAGAAACATCTAGAATGATGTTTGACCAAATATCTGTGTACTGTGGTCTAGCCAAGTTGACACATACAATGAACTATCACCAGGATGTAGCCTCTATGACTTAAAGACAAGGCTAATGTGTAAGGATCAGGTTTTGTCAAGGCTGTTTTGGAGGTGCATAGTTCTACATTTTCTCAAGGGGTTTTACAGTGAGACAGCCTGCAACTAGAAAGCCATGAGAATTCTGTCTGCTTTTTTCAGCAGCTTACTTCCTGCCTATAGATTGGCTGGCCTGCCCACAGTCCAGTCGTGTGGGAGGGGGGGCGTGGGTGCCGTGGTGGTGGTGCTGGTGGTGCTGGTGGTGGTAGGCTTGGAGAAGAACGGGATAAGGTGACATGGTACAAAACATGACTCCTAGACAGTGAGTTGTATGGACAAGGTAGTTTTCCACAGAAGGATCATGGGGCAGGTGCTGAGATATCTGCCCGTCACAGAACGATCAACTTTTTTTAATGAAAAATTATTTTCAGTAAAATCTTTATTTTGGAATAATTTTAGTGTTATAGAAAAGTTGCAAAGATAGTACAGAGAGTTCCTGTATACCTGCCACCCAATTTCTCCCACTGCTAATATTTTACATTTCCATAATACATTTGCTAAAACTGAGAAGCTCACATTGGTATATTACTAGAGTAAACTCCAGATTTTGTTTGGATTTTACCAATTTTCCCATTAATTTCTTCTTTATGTCCCTCCTGTACCCTCGAACCCAGGTATCACACTGCATTCAGTTGTCATGTCTCCTGTCTCTCTGGTCTGTGACAGCCTCTCAGTCTGTCTTCTGTTTTTTGTAACTTCGATAATATTGCATACTGGTCCGGGATCCTGTAGACTATCCCCCAGCCGGGGTTTGTCTGACGTTTTTCTCATGATTAGAATGCAGGCGCGAGTATCGAGAAGGAGCAGCACAGAGGTGACGCGCACTTCACATCATAGGGGACAGTTACGCGACATCCCTGGTGACACTAGCCTTCATCGCTTGTTTGAGGTCCCGTCTGCCAGCTTTCTCCACTGTAAACTTAAACTTACTGTCTCCCTTCCCGTTCTATCCTTTGGCAGCCAGCAGCGGCCGAGTTCGTGCTGCGCTGGAGATGAAACACCAAAGGGCGGGTGGGAAGAGAGGGCAGTGGGTACTTAGGGGGGCAAGGGGTTCAGAGGGGCTTCCTCCCGTTCGTCCAGGCTGCTCTGAATCGAATCGCTGGAGGAAGCAGGGTGCGACCGCAGTAGAGTGGTCGGGTACCGGCCGGGAAGTTTAACTCCTGTCATCCTCAGGGGCCTCTGCGGAGGGGGGCTGACGGTGCCTTCTCTCCCCCCCAGCTCGCCGTCTTCATTTACTACGCTGTGTGGAAGCCCCAGAGGCAGTGGATCACCTTGGACACGGGCATCCTGGAGAGTCCCTTCACCTACAGTCCTAAGAAGAGGGAGGAAGCCTGGCGGTTCCTGTCGTACATGCTGGTGCATGCGGGGTAAGGACAGGGAGGCCCTGATGGTGGAGGTGGCTGTAGGTGACTGTAGCCGTCTGTCCAGAGCTTTGTCGCCCATAAGCACCCTCATGTCCGCATCTTCCGCGGCCCGCGCAGCGCACCTCGGCCGCAGCTGCTGCTCCTGCCGTTTCATGCCTGGGCTTCGGGGAGGCAGTCACTTGCCCCTTGTCACACAGCTAAATGGAGAGCTAGGACTTCAACCCATCGGTGCTAACCCCAGTCCACTGTACTGTACACTGCATTATAGCTGCCTAATATTGGAATTTATATAGGAATATTACCGAGAAGAGGCCAAATCATCACCAAACCAGAAGTATGTTCCCCTGGTTGTTCGATGTTGTTAAATGTTCCCTTTAGGATATGAAAAATCACTCCCACTGTTCCTGCCCCCACCACACACTTAAAAAAAGAATTCGTGACCTTTTTGTATACCACCGTTATCCACCTGGAATAATATAAGCCATAGGAGCTGCAGTGCTTGCCTTTGAGTTTTGCTTATAGTTTCTTAAATGCTAACTAAGATCCTTCTACGGCCTCGCTCAGAATCCGCGATTCACCATGCCCACTGCAGACAGCGAAGGGCGTGCTGCTGGCCCCCCTCTCTCGCGGACCAGGCTGGGGGACTCCTGGTGTTTCAGATGAGGCCAACTTTGTGTAAGAGACCTAAACAGCCTGAATCCTAAAGGATGACTCTGGCCTGTGGCTAAATAGGCATCCATGGCAGGGCACAGGGCTCAGGGCCTTGACAAGCCAGGGACAAAGTCATCAGTTGCCCAGTTTTTGTGGACACTTTCCCACTTTGGTTTTACATTTAACAAGTATGTTCTGAGCAAATGTGGCTTCTGCAGTCATGCACTTTCAAGTGATGAGGGAGCACTTAGCTAGTAATGCAAGGCAGCACAGTATTATAGAATATAGTAGTTACTTAATCTCTGTGCCTCAGTTTATACATCTGTAAAATGGGGTAACAGCATCTACCTCATAAGGTTGCTGCGATTAAATCAGACAATGGTCATAATTTTTATAGTGCCTGACATATACTAACCACTCAAAAAGAATCTGCAAGGCTGTGCAGGACATGCCACATACGGGGTTGCATAAATTAGGAAGTAACAACAAAAACCAACAGGGACTTAAAAAAATGGAGGTCAATTTTTTTCCATATAAGCAGCCCAGAAGTAGGTGGTTGGTTCATCAGTTTACTAAAGCCAGGTCTCTTGGTCCTGTGCCGGCACCTCTGCCTTTTCCTTGGCCTTCCTCTGTGGTTGCAAGCTGACTGCCGCAGCTCTGCATTCAACGCAGGAAGGGGAAGAGGTAATACCAGTACTGGTGATGTCATCCTTTTGTCAAGGCAGAAGCACTCGTGAGTCTCTAGGCAGTGCTGCTTTTACTTGCATCTCACTGGCCAGAGCTGTGTCCCTACCTAAGTGACGCTGGGAAAGTCAACATTAGCTCTTCCAGCCTCACTAGAGGGGGTAGAGATGGGACAGGACAGGGGCGTTGGATGAGCTACCGTGATATAAACAGAAAGAGGGAAAGATCAGAATGGGGATGGCTTCGCACGACCTGGATCCAAGTTGGACTTTGAAGGGTGGATACAATTTGGAATAAAAAGATGAATATTTCTATTTTGGGAATATGGCAGGATCTCTTCTTTCTGCCACTTCTGCTCGAGGCTGAGCAGAAGAAAGAGTGCTTGGGGTGATTCATTGGGGTGCTTGTGCTACTGGTCATCTTGTCTTCTAGCTGTTGCCAGAGGACAGGATGGGATGGCTTTCTTTGACCTTGTTGTTCAGATTCACAAAGTGCACATATTTCCAAATCCCCTTTATGACTGAGGTGTCTGTAAGAATAGTGTAACTGTTGTTGCTAGACAATTCTGTGCTGAATTACGTTACCTCTCATGTGTCTTTGAAGATGGCTTGGACAGTGATAGTTGTGGCTGGGTGTGCATGTGGCCATAAAGGTAAGTAATCTGTTCTGCCAGGTATGCACAGAGAACCTCTGCAGTGGTCTAATGGATATTTGTTAAGTAAATTATAATGTAAAACACAATCCCTAAAACTAATACAAAAGCTGTTGCACTTTGTGGAAGATCCAACACCTGTTTCGTTTAACTTTTTGCTTTAACCTGAAATTTAAAAAAAAAAAAAAATCTTTATTGATTTCAGAGAGAGGAAGGGAGAGGAAGAGAGAGTTGAAACATCAATGATGAGAGAGTCATTATTGATCGGCTGCCTCCTACAGGCCCCCAACTGGGGATCGAGCCCGCAACCGGGGATCGAGCCCGCAACCCGGGCATGTGCTCTGACCCGGAATCGAACCTCAATCTCCTGGATCCTAGGTCGATGCTCAACCGCTGAGCCACGCCTGGCTGGGCAACCTGAAATCTTAAAAAAAATAAAAGCATTGTGCTACATAGTAACTAAATTAACTAAATTGAGGATTACACTAATGTGGGAATTTACCAAATTACATTCAGAGATTCTCCAGAGAAGCTTGTGGGGTTCGAGAGGCAAAATAATATGAATTTTATTTAAAAATATTTTTATCTATTTAAAAACTATAATAAAAAAAACCACCTGTACTCAAATATGTTATATGCCAAATTGTGATACATGGGAGATTCCAACTTTAACGAGTGTTACTAGGTAAACTTTCCCCCCTCCATTCTAGTAAGCTTTTTAAAAATACTTTTTAAGGTAGACCTGGGAATGAGGTTCCTCTTGCCATCTCTGTTTTATTAAAGAATATTCTGAGGTTGCAAGACAAGTTGTTTAAGAACCTACTGAAATTTAAAGTCTGTATGAGTGAATTAAGATTTTCTTAATACTGTGCAAGTTAAACAAAATCAGATGCTAACGCTGACATAAGTTGGCAATTATCATCTAAACCTAATTTCAAGTTCATGTTCCTTAGGCTGGTCTCATCGCCCTCGATGTTATCAGTAATTGTTATAAACTTATAAAATAAATGTATACTTCTAAAATGCCTTACCTGCTAAAAAAATTAGAAAATGGAATTGGAGTTAAGCAAGTCCTTAACTAGAAATAACGCCTCAATGACTATTAATCTCCCAATGAAATAACTGCCTGGGTCAGTTATAATATTTGACAAATGTGTTTGTCTCTGCAGAGTTCAGCACATCGTGGGGAATCTGATTATGCAGCTCGCTTTGGGTATTCCCTTGGAAATGGTCCACAAAGGCCTCCGAGTGGGCCTGGTGTACCTGGCAGGAGTGATTGCAGGTTAGTGTTCTTGTTCTGAGGGCTGCTTGAAATCAACACCTCTGGACTCCCAGGAGGTAATAAACAAAACAAAGGTAATAAACTTTGATAATGGGTTCTTGTTTAAGATGCATTGTACTCCAAACATGTGCTAGGAAACCTGATAAACATTGGAGACAATTAGAGATATTAGAGACAAGGTAAGCACACAGAAATAAATCACTGACTATCGTCAGGTACAGCGCAGTCAGGCAGGGTCTTGCACAGCTGGAAACTGCGAGTAATTTGGTGAGCCAGGTGCATACACGGGTAAAGGCCTAAAGCCAGACCATGAAGGCCCTTATGTGTCAGAGTAAAGATTTTGGTAAGTAACCATCAAATCTGCATTTAAGAAAGATAACTTCAGAAGAATGGAGAATAGTTAAAGGGGTCTAAAGACTGAATAGGTACTAGCAGCCTACAGCAGTGAGCTCTAAAATTGTGTGTGCCTATGATGATTCATTATGGTGCGAGCAGAAAATAGAACTTCCATTCATCCATTATTTATTTGTTGGAAAAATTTAAAAACAAACTTTTTATTTTGATATAATTACAGATTCATACTTTAGTTGTAAGAAATAAATACTTAGAGGTGTCATGTCCCATTTAACCAGCTACCCTGAATGGTAACAGCTTGCAAAACTATAGTACAGCACCACCATCAGGATATCAGCACTGATAAGAGTCATGGTACAAAACATTTCCAATACCATAAACTATACTCTCTTCCCTCTCTCCTGACACTCTTCTTTATCCCTGGCAACCAGTAATCTGTTCTTTATTTCTACAGAGGTGGGCAAAAGTAGGCCTGCAGCTGTAAAACAATAATACAATAAGTAATAAATAATAAACAAGAGTAAACTGTTTCATGTACGTACAACTAAACCTACGTTTGCCCTTCCCTGTATAATTTTCTCACTTCAAGAATGTTATATAAATGGAAGAATACAGTAGACAGCCTTTTGGGATTGCCTTCACTCAGGGTGATTCTCGGGTGATTCATACAGGTTGTTGCATGTATTAACAGTTCGTTTTTATTGCTGAATAGTAGTACATGGTATGGTTGTACCATCCACCCTTCAGTCACTGGAGGGTATCTGGGTTGTTTCCAGTTTTTGGTTGTTACAATAAAGTTGCTATAAACATTCGCGTACAGGTTTTTGTGAACATAGGTAGAGTTTTGTGAACAGGCCTTTCATTTCTCTAGGATAAATGTTCAAGAGCACAGATGCTGGGTTGCATGGCAGTTGTAGATTTAGTTTTGTAAAAATCAGCCAAAATGTTTTCCAGAATGGCTGTTCCATTTTACCTTCCTCCCAGTATTGTGTAAGTGATTCAGTTTTCCACATTCTTACCAGCATTCAGTGCTGTCACTATTTTTTATTTTAGTTGTGCTCATACGTCTGCAGTGATATCTCATCATGGTTTTAATTAGTGTTTCTCTAGTGGCTAACAATGTTGAACATCTTTTCCTGTACTTATGTGCCATCCATATCTCCTCTTCAGTGAAATTGTCTGTTCATGTCTTTTGCCTATTTTCTAATTAGATATTTTTTCCTGTTGACTTTTGAGAGTTCTTTATATATTCTAGATCCTAGTCCTTTATTGAATATGTAGTTTACAGATAATTTCTCTCAGTCTGTAGCTTGCCTTTTCATTGTCTTAACAGGGTCTTTCACAGTGCAAAAGTTTTTAATTTTGATGCAGTCCAATTTATCAATTTTTTGGTTTTATGAATCTTGCTTTTGGTGTTATATCTAAGAACTCTTTACTGAGCCCTATGTCTTAAATGTTTTCTTCTATGTTATCTTCTAAAGTTATAGTTATTTTATTTTATCCTCACCTGAGGATATTTTTTCCATTGCTTTTTCAGAGTGGGGGGAGAGTTGGGGAGACGGGGAGAGAGAGAGAGAGAGAGAGAGAGAGAGAGAGAAAAATATCGATGTGCCGATTGGTTGCCTCCCGCATGCTCCCCAAACAGGCCAGGGATGGAGCCTGTGACCGGGGTATGTGCCCTTGGCTGGAATGAACCTGGGACCCTTCAGTCCGCAGGCTGACACTCTAACCACTGAGCCAAATTGGCCAGGGCTAAAGTTATAGCTTATGTTTTACATTTAAATATGTGATCTATTTGAGTTGGTTAATTTTTATATAAAGTGTGAGGTTTAGATTGAGGTTCTTTTTGTTTATTTGCCTAAGGATATCCAGTTACTCCAGAACAATCTGTTGAAGAGACTGTTCTTCCTTCGGTGAATTGCTTTTGTGCCTTTGTCAAAAATCAGCTGGCTGTCGTGAGCGACTGTTTCTGGGTTCTCCGTTTTGTTCCACTGGGGGACGTATCCATCACTCCCTAACAGTTTACTGTGCCCCTTGGGGATCCCATCCTCTTGCCTCTTCCTACTCTTCCCCACTTCCTCTGGCATTTGTAACTTTTAGTTTATATAAATGGAATCTTAGAGTATGTGCTACTTTTTGTCTGACTTCTGTCACTCAGCATAATTATTTTGAGATTTGTGCATGTAATTGTGCATCTCAATAGCTGATTGCTTTTTATTGCTGAGCAGTATTTCATTGTATGGCTATAGCTCAATTTGTTTATCCATTCTCCTGCTGATGGACACCTGGGTTGTTTCCAGTTTGGGGCTATCACAAATGAAGCTACTATGAACATTTGTGTGCAAGTCTTTGTGTAGACAAATGTTTTAATTTCTCTTGGGTAAATATTGTATGGTTCCATTTGACTAGAATGGCTGGATCTAGTCACCTGTGCACCTTTGTTTCTATGTCTTTGCTTTTCCTGGTTCCTACATCCCTAATACCTTCTTCTCTGTTTTCCCGGTCCAGATTTTAAAGATCCTTCAGCGTTTAATGAAAAAGCCATCTCCTTCTTCTCAGAATAGCAGGGCCTCCACCTCTCTGCTGAGAAAGTCATTCCTTTCTAGGTGTTTCCACAGCAAATTTATTACATTAAAAAAAACCATCCCTGGCTGGGTGACTCAGTTGGTTGGAGCGTTGGCCCATACGTACACCAAAAGGTTGAGGTTCGCTTCTCAGTCAGGGCACATACCTAGGTTGCAGGTTCCATCCCGGGTTGGGGCATGTATGGGAGGCAACCAACTGATCTCTCTCTCTCACATTGATGTTTCTCTTTCTCTCTCTAAAGTCAATAAACATATCCTCATGTGAGAATTAAAAAAAAATCATAGTTGTTATATTATGCATTTTATGATTGCTCATCCATTTGTAAGATTCCTAAGTCAGACAGAGTAGCTATTATACTGTATCCTAAGGAATGAAGGGAGGCCTCAAAAGCAAGAAACCAAATAATAGAATTAAGTAGAGATAATATCTTAGAGTTTGCACGAGGTGGTCTTAAAGCCTTTTTTTGGTTTAGGCACTCCAAGATTGGGTTAGCAAATAGATTTCATCTTGCTTGGTTAATCTGATGGAATGGTATGTTGAGGAGGATTCAGAGGCCACATCTTGATTCTATGAAAATGCTAGCCATTAGATAAGATAATCAAGTGTTTGCATGTCTCAGGTATTTTGATAGTTTGGGCTAAACATGTAGAATGTTTTGAAATAAGTATATAATACATGTCAGGCAGTGTTCTAAGCATGATGCACATATCAACTCATTTACTTCTCCTGACAACTCATTAATACCCCATTTTCTAAGTAGGAAAACTAAGGCACATAGAGGTTAAGAAACTTGCTCAAGTCACACAGCTGGTAATTCTGGCTGCAGAGTCTGTGCTTTTATCACTTATACTGTCTTCATAGTGAACATTCATTCGATGTTTCAGAAAAATTGAGGTAGTTAGCCCACATAGCTATAATTTTATTGTATGGAAGGGACAAAGTGAATATGTTGTTTGTTAATATGAGAATGGCCCAGACTTTTACCTTAGATTAGAAAGATTTATCTTTCATGATTCTTATAGTAAGGTCTGATTCTTTGTGTTTTATTTCTTTAGGATCCCTTGCCAGCTCCATCTTTGACCCACTCAAATATCTTGTGGGTGCTTCAGGAGGAGTCTATGCTCTGATGGGAGGCTATTTTATGAATGTTCTGGTGGTAAGAACTTTGGGAATGGAATCTATAAACCTTTTTTTTTAAAGATAATAACTGGTATTTGGTATAGGGAATCTTCATTTATCAATATTTACTGAGCACTCATCTTCCTTTTGATCACCAGTTTTCCTTTCATATTTTATCTTCCCCCCCCCGATCTCAAAAGTAATGAATACTGAATAAAATTTTAAATTGAAAAGTAGAAAGTCAAAATCCCCAATACAGTATGTTAACAGTTTGATATACATCCTTTCAGATCTTCTTTTATATGTATTCAAAATCCTGTAGTATTAATATTATAAAAATGGAACCACCCTTATAGTGCTCTGCATCTTAACCGAGTATCCTGACCATCTACCCCTGGCAGCAACATAAATCCGCCTCCGTCTTTGCAAGTGCTCCACAGCACCCTCTGTAGAGCAGTATCCTGACTTCTGTCATCTTTCATTGAAAGAAATGTGGGGTGATTCCAGCTTTTCACATTTACATATAGTGCTTTGTAAATGTAAAGAATGTTCTTTTACATTTATCTGTCTGCGTTTGTGTGGTTTTTTTGTAGGATAATTTCCTAGAAGTGGATTTCAATGCTAAATCGTCCTCCAAAGTTTGCATACTGTTTTACATTTCCATGATATAGTATGTGAGAATGTCAACCACTTTTAAAGACAGGCTAAAATCCTGTCTAGTTCTTAACCCTTTAACCATGTAGGTATACTTTAAAATATAAGTATTTATATTTTATTTATACTTATTTATATATCTGTACTTTAAAAATACTGTAGGAAGAAAAATATGAAGCAATTATAAAACTGTTTCAAAAATAGAAGTCATTTAGAAAAATGTTTTTCAAACTTTGGATTTCAATCCATTAGTGGTTGTGAACTCGGCTTAAGGGTTGTGAAAAACTAAGCAAAAAGAAAAAAGTGAAAAAAAAATTCAGTTGTAATAAGTACTGTTTGATTTGTGTGTGTACTGGGTTGTTATGTAAATTATTTCTTACTGTAAGTTGTGGCTACAACAGATTGAAAATAATTTTCTTAGAACAAGCAGGGCTATTCCAGCATCTTTGCTCTTTGGGAAGAGAGTAACTTGAAAGGGAACGGGATGTGCTCGCTAAATGAGCGTGGCAGTGTCCTCCTGGCTTCGCTCTCTGGTAACACGAGGTTACCAAGCTGGACTGAGGTGTGGTTTTTCTGACCAACATTTAAAATTTTTTTGAAATTATCTCAAAAAAATAAGGTATACTCAAATTTTAGTTCTTTCCTAACTCCTATTTGGAAAGGAAATAAAGATGTAGCAAATAAATATCAGCCATAAAAACTTGGACATATTTCATCAGACTTAGTTTGACAGCATCTTTGTCATCTATCATCTATCTATCTATCTATCTATCTATCTATCTATCTATCTATCTATCTATCTATCTATCTATCTATCTAATCTATCTATCATCTATCTAATCTATCTATCTATCTATCTATCTATCTATCTATCTATCTATCTATCTATCATCTATCATCTATCTATCTATCTATCTATCTATCTATCTATCTATCTATCTATCTATCTATCTATCTATCTATCATCATCTATCATTTCATGTTAAATGTTGATTTTATATTACTTATATTTAGATCATTTCCTGATAATAAAATTGTGTCTAGTTTATATCATGGAGTTAAATGTCATGTTTCAATTTTGTTCTTCAAAGTGCACCAGAGTTGTGCTTCCCAAATACATTTGAAAACTGGACTATTATACCAGTTCTTTGTTTTGCAAATATTTGACACACAAACTTTATTCTAAATGAAAAAGATGAAGAGGGAATACAGCTGAGGTTTCATTTGCCAATAAAGAGCTTAACTTATTATTATCTATCTCTTTGCAAGAATTTTCGAGAAATGATTCCTGCCTTGGGAATTGTCAGACTGCTGGTCATCATCTTTATAAGTAAGTTTGTTTTGTGAACACTTCCCACCTTCAATTTTATCCATTCATCCTTCAGAAGATCTTCTCCCATTTCCTACACACTAACATGTAGGATGACAGTTAGCTTAGAGTCAGAAAATTGTCAGCTCCTTAGCCCTAAGCAAAAAGGTATAAAAGGTGGGGTTTTCACAGACCTTCACGGGTGGTTCTTAGAGGTGCTGCAGTAACGTGTTTTTGCTTTTAGTTTCTTTTTGCAGTGAAGGAAGTCAAAAGAGTAGACTAGCTTCATTTGTTTTATATACTGATTTTTCTTATTCATACACTAGATTCTCTATATATTTTTTTCTGAAAACGGAAAGCTTGAAAACCACTGAGATCTATTTCATTCCTCAATTTCTAAATTTCCAGATTAAAAAAAAAACTGATCTAGAATATAAGCATGGAGTAGTGGTTGAGGACTGATAATGAGAGTGGAGGAAAGGAACTGAAAGTTCAGGGACTAGGGGGATGACTAATATGGCTTTTGACAGCTCCAATAATTACAGCAGAGAATTACATGCTAAAGGAATTTTAGAAAGAGTGTTCAACCTGGACAGGAGGTGGGATTTTAGCAGAGTCTGAAAGTCAGTGTAGATTCCAAAATGTCTATGTAAGAATGTCTAAACCTGTAGAGAATTTTCATGAGTTTATTTGAGCCCAACTGATGACATATGCTGGGAAGCAAGATTTCAAATGCTCTGGAAAAAAACAGTTTTGCAGCTTCTCTTATGCAGTTGAAATTAAGGAGGGGAAGTAAGGAAGATTGAAGAAAGTAAGGCGGGCATTGGGTTACATGATAGTTAGCAAGACTGTGCTCTCTGAGGGCTAACACCCCTTTCTGGGGTATTCTGGCATTTCAAAGGTGTGTTAACCCAGATGTACAAAAACAATGGACAAAAAACCTCAGAAATATTTCATCAGACTTAAAACCTTTCACTAAAGAAGTTTTAGGCCTGGGTCATGACTACCCACGGTGATCTGTACAGTTAGGAATTTACGGTCAGATCACCCTGTGAGGTTACATTCCATAGAATCCCCTTTTTTTGTCTACAAAAATAAGAGCAAAGGCAGGGCCGGTTACTGTGTTTCCAGAGCTGATCCAGCCGGAGCTGTGTCTGCTCATAGGGTGTAGAGAGAAGGGCAGATGTTGGGGTCCAACTGTGGGGTCAGACTTGAGGGCCAGGACAGAGGTGACACTTGAGCAAGCCAAAGATTTTGGCTGTCCACATGGTAAGAAAAAATGATTCTGCTAATTGGTATCAAGAGTTCAATTATCTATCTACACTGTAGGGACAGGGACAACCACCTCTGAAGAAAGAGACTAAATTTAGTTTATGAAGTTTAACTGTAGAAAANGCTGTCCACATGGTAAGAAAAAATGATTCTGCTAATTGGTATCAAGAGTTCAATTATCTATCTACACTGTAGGGACGGGGACAACCACCTCTGAAGAAAGAGACTAAATTTAGTTTATGAAGTTTAACGTTTCATGCTGAGAAAATAAGTGAGTTGTTTATAGTCTATACCATACTCTACTTTTTTTCTCTCCAGAAGAAATCCAAGAGGAGAGGGAAAGTTGTCCGCACAGACAGGAGAGCTGTGCTGGGAGGGAGTTAGGAGAGTTGCTGTGGGAACCGAGGTGCCGCCTGAGTTAAGAGTCACACCTACAACCAAGGGACAAGTCCTTTGACCGAAAAATGTTGTTACACAAGTTATCTGGGTCTTCGATCTGCTTCTTTTGGGTAATTATGAGTGACTTTTATAAAATAAGCTTTAAACTTCTGATGGGGACTCATTTTGATACTCTTTTTGAATTCAGTGTTGGAGTAAAAACCCTTTCCTCATGCACAGGGCTTCTCCAAAGGTAGTTTATGTAACGTATCATTCTTGAGGTAACCGACAGTCATTGAATGATGTGCTTTTATTATGTCCCACAAATAGAGGTAGGACACCCCACTGTTAACCATCCCCACTTCCCTGCACAAATCATTTCTAAAAGTTCTTTGGCCTGCTTTACCTACTATTGGAAAGTAGAAAAGTTACAACACATACCAGATTAATACAGGTATATTTTAATTTTAAATGCATTTCCTTTGGAAAATGTGTGTGTGTGTGTGTATATGTTTTAATGGTAAAAATGATTCTTTAAAAAAATTTTTATTTATTGATTTGAGAGAGAGAAACATCAATTTGTTTTTCCATTTATTTATGCTTTCATTGGTTGATTCTTGTATGTGCTCTGACTGAGGATGAAACCTGCAACCTTGGTGTATAGGGACGATGCTCGAACCAACTGACCTACCTGGCCAGGACTAAAAATTCTTCTTAATTGTGGAGGACAATTGGCCTTAAGCACCTTCCTTCATTAAAGCATTATTTGTTGGATGTGTTTTCTGACAAAGCAAGTGAGCTTCCCTTTGGAAAATGTTAAGGAAATTTCACATTTTCATCATTAAAAAAAAAAAAAAAAAAAAAGAATCCATATAAAGGCAACTCTCTTAATATGAGTGTCAAATTTTTAGTGACAATAATGATTCAGTTTATTGGAATAAAGGCTTCTTTTCAGGTGGGAAAACATGTCTCAGTTTACAGACTGCAGTTTAGAAGCAAACTCCCCCAGAAAGCAAAAGGAGCCAGACAGAGGTGGGTAGAGGGGGCAAGATAAGAGAGAAATGGAATGGAGACACTGACTTGCTAAGGGTTAGAAAGACTGCTTGAGAGGCCTCCTACCCTGGAAGGCTAGACCAGAGTAACTGTTTCCAGGAAGTCAGCCCTAGTCGCTGGCAGGGCTTCTCTTACATTTCCTAGTCCCATCTCTCAGTGTTATTTACACTGGCTCGGGAAATGCAAATGACTGAAAGTACCATACGGCCACATTTATCCAGAACTTTGTGTAATAATCATTTACAATTGAATTAATATTGAGTACTTCCACAATTCCTGTCTAGTGATTCGAACGTCGATACAGTATTGAAGCTATTTCCCCAAAGGCAAGGACTGGGTCTTTCCATTGCCAGGACACAGTGGCTCACTAATTCGAGCACAGGGACTTGGGGGTGGGTGTTGACCGGGACAGCTGCATGAGATGTTTCCAAGTGCTGCGCATGCAGGGCGGCGTCCTGGGCCAAGAAACCCGGAGGCTCCTTTTGTAGCACAGATCTGACTTAATTGAAAAATGTCTAAATTCTGGATCTCACTGTTCTACTGGAGAATGTGGCCTTTGGGGGGGGCGGGGACGACGACGACACACACACCACACTTTGAAAACCACCTACCTAGCCATATCAACTGCTTTAGTATTCCTTAAGCACACCAGGCACACTCCTGCCTTAGGGACACTGCATTTGCTTTTCCCTCTGCCTGGCAGACTCTTATTTCAGAGGTCAGCATGGCTTGCTCCCTTATCTCCATCACATGTCTTATGTTCAGTGAGATCCTCCCTGACTCTATTAAAAAGTCACAGCCTGCTCCCCGCGGTCCCAGTTCTCCTTCCTCCCTTTGTACGTCTCCACAGCACTTAGCACCACTTGACACACTGTATGCTCTCCTTGTCTGCTTGCCTCCCTCAGGTCCACCAGACAGGGCTATCTGCTCTGCTCACTGCAGCATGTCTACCACCTAGACTAGTGCCTGGCCCCTAGAAGACAATCAATCAGTACTTGTTGGATGAATACATCTGCAAAAATGGGATAATGATAGTACCAATTTCATAGGGTCATTGTGAGGATTAATGATACAAGGTTAATCATATAAAGCTCTGTGAACAGCACCCGGCACGGAATAAGTCTCAATAAATGCTAGCTGCTACCATTATTAGGGGGAAACCAAAGCATTCGGTGCACTGTTGTGGAGACCTTGGCACTTCACCAGGTTGTCTTTCCTTCTAGTTGGATCGGATGTGGGATTTGCTCTCTACAGAAGGTTCTTTGTCCCAGCAAACGGGTCACCGGTGAGTATGGCTTATTATTTTTTTAATGAAAATTTGTTTACCTATCATATCAGTAGCTAAAAAGGGTCATCAAATAAGGGCAACAATTCTGTCATTTAGGGCAAATTTCCATCTGGAAGAAAATCCTGAAAAAATATCAGACTTGGATTGTCTTTTTCACTTAACTCTCCCTGCCCTGACCACTGGGTTCTACTTCTCTGTGCCTGCCAGGACAGGAGAGAAGGGATTGCACTGTCCGCAGAGGATAAAAAAGCAGATTGGAAATCAGCAATGAAAATTTGGGTCCAGATGAATTTACAATATAAAGAAAACTTACAAAGATCTCGTTTTGTTGGAATTAGCCTTTGACTTTGGTAGCCTCTGTGTTTTAATCCTGACATTTCACTTATGTGAGATCAGGTTATGCTCCTTTAGAGATCCCTCGTGCAACTCAGCTCTGCCGCCTTGGTCGGTTCTACACAGAACCACCCCAAATTAGATGACGAAGAAGAAGAATGACAAACAGTGGCTCTGTCTTGTGTACTCAGAGCTGGTGAAATGGTGTTTTTAGCTCTGCATCCTTTAGAACATCTCTCTGTGCACATGGCGTCTTGTGTCTCTTGCTTGAGCTCCTTGTTCTTCAGACTTTACAGACTCTTGTGTGGCGGTGATGGTGTGTGTTGTTTAATACAAGAGAGGCAATGGAAATATGTAATTAGCATTTTTTCACTTACTTCCATTTTCCCCCTTTTCTCCCAAGGTGTCTTTTGCAGCTCACATCGCAGGTGGATTTGCTGGAATGTCCATTGGTTACACTGTGTTTAGCTGCTTTGATAAGACACTGCTGAAAGATCCACGGTTTTGGATGGCAATTGCAGCTTATTTAGCTTGTGTCTTATTTGCTGTGTTTTTCAACATTTTCCTATCCCCAGCAAACTGACCCGTCCCTAATAGAAACCAATTAATAAACAGAGCCAGTGGGGGGAAAAATTGGAGAACTCTATGAAGAAACAGAGAAGTCCCAGCAAATGCTAACAATTCTAAAAGAAAGCAAAACACCACTGAAGTCATCAGTTGCAAAGACTTTTAAGAAAAGGTCTTAGGTTTTAAGGAAGGGGCCTCTAAATACACGGGGAGGGGCGAGGGAGAGAGAAAAGGGAAGTAAAGACCAGAAGCTGGGTCTTTCCCAGGCGCAGGGTGTGCATGCCTGCATCCTCTAAAAGAGGCCTGTTCCTCTTCGAGGATGTATTACAGAGATGGCTTGCTAGAATCACAAATACTGTACTATGCTGTTAATAAAAACTTTTCATACCTGTGCCAGATTACTGATAATCATTTTCAATCACTGTTCCAGTAGATCGATCACTGAGGTGTTTTATGTACATTATTGCTAATCTTTTTAAGAACCCATAAAGGTGGCTATTGCTCTGCACCTTAGAGAGGACATGGAAACTCTTTAAAAAATCAAGTAACTTGTCTAAGAGGGGCCACAACTTAAAGATTGGTAATGACTTAAAAGCCCATACTCTCCTCCCCTACTGGTCTAACAATGCTGTATCCCCCCAATACGAAAGTTAAGAGTATCATGGCGGTATAGCAATAAACATTTCTGTGGGTGCACCAGGGATGGTAGAAATACCTTACAGGAGAAGATGCAATTCTCCGGACTGCTAGTTTCAGATTCTCATAGCCTGCCTAGGACCCCAAGGAACCTGGAACTGGCTTTGCAGTGCACACTATGCACCTGGCTCTGGCCTCTCATCCATGGTAAGAGTCTCATCCTTCACGTGGCTAGTGGCTCTCCTAGAAGTGAGTGGGATTTACTTACAGAAGGTAAAAATGTCTGAAAGCTGAGATGCCTGTGTCATTTTCCTGTAGAGAACCCAGATTGTTGGCCATTCTTTTCCCAAAAGTTTTAGGTTGTCTGAACATAGTAGGAAATATATTTTTCTCTCCTTTCATTACTGACATATTTTACTTATACACACCCACCCAAACATGCTGCTGTATTCTGAAAGGAGCACACACACTTAATACAGTGAGAAAAGTATTTAAGCATCTTGAGAAAAGCTGATCTGGGATTTGTTTAAAAATTTTTTTTTTTACTATTTGAGTATGAGAATACGAGTATGTTCTTGGGTAAACAAAGATTTGAACAAGAACTTAAAAAGGTACTCCCCCTTTATTTTCTCACCCTTCATACTGCTTTTTTCCCTGGTGGTGACCGTGTCAACAGCTGGGTGTGTATTCCAGGCCTTTTTCTATTCAGGATGAGCAGAAAAAGAAATGTATTTTAGCTTATGGCTAACTCTACTCACTGTACTGAATTGCACTGAATCTGCTCTACACTGCCAAAGGGACAAATTCAGAGAAATATTCATTTGCCATGGTGAATACACCAGGTCACTAGCTCTGAGGAGAGAACTTTAATGACCTATAGGGCAGTGTAGTTGTTAATAATAGAAAACCGGATAGCAACAGGATTCACTGAACTATGAAATCGGACATGACTCATTGATTATTAATACTGATGACTAAATAGTTTTTATCTGGTCAAAAAGATATTTTGGTACTAGAAACATTGTCCACATGATCAAAAATAGTGATTATCTATCTTACTAAGTTCCCCAGAAGACAAAATTACCATAAAAAAAGCCCTGCCCCGGTGGCTCAGAGATTGAGCATTGACCTTTGATCCAGGAGATATCGGTTTGATTCCTGGTCAGGGCACATGCCCAGCTTTCGGGCTCGATTCCCAGCAGGGACGTGCAGGAGGCAGCCGATCAATGACTCTGTCATCATTGATGTTTCTCTCTCTCTCTCTCTCTCTCTCTCTTCCTTTCTCTGAAATCAATAAAGATATATTAAATTTTTTTTTAAAAAAAGCATACAACATCCGGTGTTTTAAATTTGATATCCCTGAATTGGTATGTCTGAATTCAGCTTAATTTGGGTTTCATAACTTTAGTCTTCTAAACTGTGATGGGTTATTGGAAATACTGTAAGTATTCTTATCTGTACTGTTCAATAAAGTAGTCACTAGGCACAGGTAGCTTACACAAGCCACACTGCCAGACCTCAAAAGCTCCATGTGGCTAGGGGCTACTTTATTGGACAGCACACACAGAGTCTATTTCATCATGGTTGCAAAGGGTTCTACTGGACAGCCTGTGTTAGAAGCAAGAATGAGTTGAAAGGGAAATGGATTTTAGCTGGTGGCTGACTCATCCACTGCTCTAAACAGAAGTGAATCTGCTCTACACCTGCAAAGGGAAAAATTCAGAGAACGAGCTGAAAATGGCTGTGGTATAACTTCTAAGAATGATTTGCTTCAGATTGAACTGCGAAAGGTTTGTGTTAATCTCTTTTAGCTAATCAAGAACCATTTGAAATGTTTTTATCTTTTACTTTTGAATTCTATAGTTCTGTATCTATGCATACTAGTATTCATGTCATTTGCTATAAAAGCTTTAGAACCTAAGATCTGTAATGAAATAATACTGCTCCTTCTTTCAGGAAATGCCCTTTAAGGAAAAAAACCCCACCTTTTATTTCTTTTTGTGATTAGAAAAGGTGAAGTGCTCATGGTAAAAAAAATATTTATAAAAAATCAAGTCAGTTGTACTCATACTACTGAGAAATAACAGTTAACATTTTGATGAATATCCTTGTATGCATCTCTACACTTAAATTCATTTACAATGATGAGGCCATAGTATTCTATTTTATACCTGAATATCACTGAAACAATTTATCAAATGCCTTTTTATATTAATATATAATTACCATTTCTACTGTTAGCATAGTACCACACTGTGGATGTACTATTATTTATTATGTAAAATAGTCTTTCTTGTATTGATAATTATTTTGGATGTTTTCAAGTTATGATTATTATTATGAATAATATCAGCTTACACTTTAAACTGCTTTGAGTTGTAGGGGCAAAGAGTATATTATTGTTAACGTAAATATAAATTCTATCTTAGGGATTCAACTACATTTTAGAAGGTTGATGCTTTTCCGAGTCTTTTTTAACTGCATAAAGCTTTCAAAAAGGTTCCAACCAGTTATTTAAAAAGTCAAAACTATCACTATTTAAATAATTAAACTTTTAGGAGAAAACAGATGACTTTTCTTAATGTCTCTTTCATGCAAATTTTTAAAATATGCTGAAAGAGAAAAAAATAACAGTTTCATAAAAAGAGTTAAGAGCTGACTTTAGAGTTACATTGATTGAATTTGAATTCCAGTTTTAGCTGTGACTTTGGATAATCTAAGGTGAGCCTCAGTTTCCTCACTATAAAATAGGGAAGCAACATACCTACGTCGTAGGATTTTTGTGATGACCGTATCTTGTAGCTATAGTATCCCAGTATGTTGTATGATTGTGTAACATTTCCCTTTCTGTAAGCGATATAAGACATACATTTATATTTTGAGTGAAAGTGGATGAAAATATTCATTCTTTTTTCTTTCCTTTGGAATATATTTCCTCTTACATATTCTAGGATACTGCCCTAAATATAAAACCTACTGGCTGATAATCCACGCCTGTAAATTATAACTTGTCTTCTTGTTCCTGCCACAAAAGCAAGCTACATGCCTTAAATAGGTTAATGAAAATTTCTATAATACCATCACCACACCAATGTTCCATTTATTTCAAGTAATATCTAATAACATCCTGGTAGTACAAAATAGTTGAGAATTTTTGGAGTTAACTTTAAGACGATAAAAATTCATAGTACTTTTCATAGCAAAGTATAATATGGATTCTGTGAATATTCATAAATATACTACTGAAATGATTTCTGAAAATGTTCAAAAACTGCCATCAAGAAACCAGAATTTAGGCACTTAAATGTGGATTTAAAATAACTAAATTCCTGTAGCAAGATCCAGATCTGTTTCCTCTGATTTCATTAAATGCTGTATCTTTCTTAATTGTGAACTGAAACACATTTTCCTTTGTGTATAAATGAGATTTTAAAATCACTGACTTTGGTTATAACTTTTGTATAAAATAATCTTAACAGATCTGTAAGATCAAATCAGTAGTTTTAGGAACCTCTCCAAAAGCTCTGAGTTTACAAAAATAAAACAAACTTCAGATAAGAAGATTCCTTTCTTATAAGGAGTCCTACAGTGCTGCTCTTCATAGAGATTATATACACCCCTCCTCAGTATCATGTGTTTTTTTCTTCATTGCATTATAAGGTCTAAACATAAGTGAATTTAAATTCCTGATATCTGAAATATATTCTTGGTAACAGATTATCACAACTCTAGGGAAAAAGTAAAACCACCAGCACATGGATAGAGTGATGCTTTGTTTATATTTTGGCCATAGGTTTGCTTTAAGGAATAGCATGCCGTCAGAATGGAAGACTTTATCTGCCTCCCAGTTGATGGGGTTCAGAGCTAAGGTGGCGGACTAAGTAAACATGGGGGACTGGAATTTCCTTGGAGGCATTCTGGAGGAAGTTCACATCCACTCCACCATGATTGGAAAGATCTGGCTCACCACCCTGTTCATATTTCGTATGCTTGTTCTGGGTGTAGCAGCTGAAAATGTCTGGAATGATGAGCAGTCTGGCTTCATCTGTAACACAGAACAGCCTGGCTGCAGAAATGTGTGCTATGACCAGGCTTTTCCTATCTCCCTCATTAGATACTGGGTTCTGCAGGTGATTTTTGTGTCTTCACCATCCCTGGTCTACATGGGCCATGCTTTGTACCGACTGAGAGTTCTGGAGAAAGAGAGGCAGATGGAGAAAGGTCAATTGAGAGGAGAACTAGAGGGAGTAGAGTTTGAAATGTCTGGGGATCGGAGGAAATTGGAGCAAGAACTTTGTCAGCTGGAGCAAAGGAAACTTAATAAAGCTCCACTCAGGGGAACCTTGCTTTGCACTTATGTGATACACATTTTTGTTCGCTCTGTAGTTGAAGTTGGGTTCATGATTGGACAGTACCTTTTATATGGATTTCATTTAGAGCCTCTATTTAAATGCCACGGCTACCCGTGTCCAAATATAATTGATTGTTTTGTCTCACGACCAACAGAAAAGACAATATTCCTATTATTTATGCAATCCATAGCCATTGTTTCACTTTTCTTAAATGTTCTAGAAATATTCCACCTAGGCTTTAAGAAGATTAAAAGAGGGGTCTGGGGACAATATAAATTGAAGGATGAGCATAATGAATTCTGTTCGAACAGGTCAAAACAAAATCTTGCCAAATATCAGAGCACAGCTGCAAATTCACTGAAGCAACTCTCTTCTGCACCTGATTATAATCTGATAGTGGAAAAGCAAACACACACAACAGTGTATCCTACTTTAAATTCCTCTGCATTTCAGGCAGATCCTGACAATCACAATAGAAATGATGAGAAATGCATTTTGGATGAACAGGAAACTGTACTTTCTAATGAGATGGGCATACTTGGTACTACCTGTAGTCATATTCAACACATCAGCTCAAGTACTAATGAAAACACTCATAAAATATCTAGAAAAGAAGCTAATGATAAACAGTTAAGGAAAAAAAGAGAAATTGATGTCAAAAACAGCAAAAGGAACCAGCACCCTACTGGTCACTATTCTATTCCAGGTGTTGCTATAGATCTGGACAACCACTTGGGGCAGTCACCCCAAACAGCTTTCTCTCTGTCAGCTAACTGCACTGGGAAACCAAGGTGGCTTCCTGCTACATGGAGTCCCTCTACAGAAGATGAAAATTGGGTGTCACCTCCTAAAGGTAACCTCCAGGGCCAGTTCAGAGAAGGCACAATCAGAATCCTTTCTCCTTTACAAGGAGAATTCCAACCAGTTGACATTCCAGACACTCCTAATTCTTTTGGAGTGTTGTCCTTTGGATCTGAGTTGGTCAGAACGTGCAATAATCCTACTGCTTGCCCTCCAAATCAATTAGTGTTGCTGACAAACAACTGCTTTAGTAGGCGGGCTCCCACAGACCTTCAGATCTGAACAGCTGCTGCTTTTAGACATTCCGCCTATTATCACAGAAGTAGCCTAGTAATAGAGGGACACAGACAAAATAGATAAGGGCAGCTCTAAAGACCAGGTGTTAAGATGGACAAATGCAAACGCATTTCAAACAGGGAAAACATCTCTAATTCTGAATTGTGAAGGGGTAGTTCTGAACACAATAACACAGAGTTACCCAACTGGGATTACTTTTCCCAGGCTCACTTCAGAATTTGTGAAAACTGAGTTTGGGGAAATCATATGTTCAGAACCGAGGCCAAGTGGATTGGAACCGGGTTTTTCCTTGAAGGAACCACAGTCCTTAGGAGATTGTTCTTGATGTATATAATTCCTCCTTTTAGTTACTGATCTTTTATTTGTGGACACTGGTTACGTTTTGTTTGTTCCGGGGACTTAACTTAGTTTCCTTATAGACTGCAACCTAATGTGTCGTGAGTATAATCATAACGCTGCTATCCAGTAAATAAAATCTTAAAAAGATTTGTGGCTTTCTTTGACCCATTTACGGCATCGTGATTCAGGAACCAGGCTGAAGTTTGGCTCTACTACTAACTGGTCATCTAACCTCACCACCTTACTAACAGTACCTACCTTACAGGTTTAGCGTGAAGATTAAACTAAGAAATACATGTGTTTAATACAGTGCCCGGCACATAATAAGCGATCAAAAGTGCTAGCTCTTATGAGCACATTACTGAGCACCCTCAACAGGCCGACATCAAGTCGGCCACGAAACAAACTCCAAACGGAAAAGCCAGAACCGAAGCACAGATTCTAAACACATTCCTCAAACCATTGGAAATCCAAGGGTTGCCCTGCGCCAGTCGTGGGCACTTTTTTAGGATGAGGGCCAAGAAGCCAGCACATAATGATAGGTTACCAGGGTTGCAAGGTCCCAGTAGAGGCAGGTCCGCCCACTGTCGGTGTCGGGAGATCCTTCCCGGGCAGTAGTCCTAGGGCTCCGGGCGACGCAGGCTCCACCCCCGGGCGCCACGCCCGGCTTGGGCCCCACCAGGGTGCCAGTCCAGAGTTACCGACACCTCGCACTTCTCGAAGGAACCGACCGGCGGCAGGGACCGGAAAAGGAAAAAAGAGTGCCGTCGGCCTAGACAGATGGGCGGGCGTACGCAGACTCCCTCGGCTCAGCTCGCCATGGGGCATTCAGAGCGTCCTGGTCGCCATGAAAACAGGCCACACCCCGGCGATTCCGGACCGTGGTTCGCAAGTGCGCAGGCGCGCGCGCCCTTCCGCGCATGTGCAGTGCTGCTCAGAGCCCGCCAGCCACGGTCTCCGGCGCCAGCTACGCCGCTGCCGCTGTCACTATGGCCCATTACAAAGTGAGGGGGGCGCGGCGGCGTGGCTGGGGGCGTGCGGGCGGTGGCCA